AGTGTGTCACAGAGGAACATCGCCGTTGTCAGGGTTGTGGACGGCTTGCCCCCACTCACTTCATCAGCAAGATGTCAGTTGCACGCTCACACCTTCCTATGAGGAGAGGAGAAATTCAATTCTTTGCTGGGTGGCCCTAGGCCAGATCGTGACCCTTTACTGTAGAGAAGAGGAGGAGGGATCTGGTTGGCCGCCCACCCCTCTGCCTGGCCAGCCTCAGGGCACCACATGCAACCCGACTTCAAACACCTCCGCTCCGCGGTCCGGTCGGGTCGTAATCAGAGAGAGGCTCGGTTTCCAACAGCTTCTCAAAATCGGCTCTGAGCATTCATTCCCCTGGACCTACGAACATGTGTCCTGTCCCATGATCCCTCTCATACTCCTCAGAAAATGGAATACGCCATAGACGCTTTTAGAATATTTTATTTTATTTCTTCCTCTTCTTTTTTTTTCACTTTGGTCAGAGATAGAGAGAAAGTGAGAAAGCAAGTTGCCAGATCTGGGACTCTAACTACGGTTGGCCATGTGGGAGTCCAGCACCCTAGCCACCATGCCACTTGCCAGCCTCTACCATAGACACTTTTTTTTTTTTTTGACAGTTTTTTGCTATAGAGCGCATGCACTCACCAAAAAGACAGAGAAAGACAGAGAAACATAAAGTGAGAAATCACCCCCTAGGGGGATGGCCTACACCACAATCCCTTCTCCTCCATTCTCCTCTTGGAATCTTGGGCACACACGCACATGTGTCCAGCATGAGTTTAAGCCACTGGATCCGTGGTCGACTACATGGGAGTCCAGCAACATAGCCATTATGCTAACTGCTGGTCCCACCATAGACACTTTAAGTGGCAAATACAGGCAACCACTTGGCCCATGTGATAAGTGGTCACTATGATTTTCTTTTTAATTGCCAGAGGGCACATGCCCTCACCAGAGAAAGACAGAGACAGAGACAGAGAGAGGTAAAAGGAGGGAGAAATCACCCCTGATGGGGCATGGTCATGCTACAATCCCTCCGTCTCCTTTTCTCCATCCTGTCTGGATTTCGGGCATACAAACACACTCACACAGGCCCTGTGTGTTTTTCAAGCTGCCGGGGCCAGGATTTGAACCATGGTCAGCCATGTGGAAGCAGGCTCCCTTATCCAGTAGGCTATGGGACCAGCCTCACTATGGTCACTTGACACATATTCACTGCAGGGGTTTAAGACATGGTCTCCAAATCCTGTGATACGCCTCCCACTGAGACGTGGGGTCTGTGCTTGCTCTCCCGCCGACCTGGGCGAGCTCCCGACTGCTTCCACCCATGCGGGGTGCTGGAGTGATGGAACGTTCTTCCAGGACCAGGTCAGAAAGGGCATGCGACTCTGCCTGGTTTTCTCGGGGCATCCCCTCACTCCCAGGATGTCCCTCTAAGAATGCAGCCGCCATGCTGTGACCAGCCCAGTCCACGTGCAGAGGCACTGGGCCCCCAGACAAAGTCCTGGCTGTGCCCATAGGCGGCCCGAGGCCTGACACGTGAGGGCAGGAGCTTCCCGGTGACCCCAGTCTTAGCCACAGGCTCTTCCACTCACACAGCAGAGATCAACCCTCCCCACAGGGCAGGCCAAACCCCTGACCTCGGAGCCAGGGGTGTGGGGGAGAAAGTAAATAAATCAATGAGCCCGGGTGTGTTTGTTAGGCAGCAGCAGACACTCAGAACCTTCACCAAACCCACTTCGTTGTCAGGGTCTGGGGCACAGAAATGAACAAGACGCAGTCCCTGCCTCACAAAGAACCATGAACAGCCACTCAACAGTCAAATGTAGT